AACTGGTTAACCCCTCCCACTAAATTATTTATATTACTACACAATTTATGTATTGTAACAACAGAGGTGATTTAACATGGGAATCATGTTTGTACTAGATGAAAGACAGGTTTATTACTGATATACTGTCAAGTATAATCTTCACAAATAACTTATTAACATAAATGTTTGAGTCACCAAAACTAGGAGAATCATGTTAAATTAAACTGTAATGATGTTAAGGCAGGAATGTAGTCGTTTCTTCTTTGCCGTAAACTCTTTCTTTCAAACAACTGATCAGCCATCGAGTGGAGTCAAAACATTCTATTTGATATAGCTAGTTATTTATTAATTATTATTATTCCTTTACGCTCCCAGTGGAACATAAGGATACTTCAAACTAGAGGCCTGAAGTCTAGGTAGCAGTGATAATTACTTTTACAGGATGAGGTTGCTAGCCCCATGCTCAACCTTCCCTCTTTACCAATCTTATTATTGGTTTAGCGAGGTAAAGGAGTGCGTTGGCCGGGAATCTAATTCCAAACCACATGCGTGGTCGGTGAGCATTCTACCGCTGAGCTACCGACGCCAGTATGGCTAGTAGGGAGAATTAATTCTTTAATTGGCAATATTCAGTAGATAATTTGCTCGTTTTAACTCTTTCTAAACCTTTACGCAAGGAAGCATAAACTGAGGGTAGAGATATACATGAACATGAAGAAAACAGAAAAAAATTCAGCTTAGGAAATTTTATTTGTCCATGAAATCCTCTTTAAAGGCTGTATGATCGTATTGGATTCCGCTATTCACTATTTTTACTAAAACTTCAAACTACTATGTATTATTTTAAACATTAAGATGTCTTCAGTCCTCATAGTCACCTAAGAAACCTACCCTCAGGTAGGTAATAGGTACCACGTGAACTCACATCAATCAGAGAACCACTGAAAATCACCAGGAAGTACCAAACTGCTTTTTGTCCTTATTTTGGACCATTCAGATGTAGTCGCCCACAATCCTACCAAGGATCGAACTCAGGTTACAAGGCTACCCCGTTCACTAATCAATCACAAATCGACAGAAATGAGAATCGATGGGCCACAGGTTTCCGTCCCAGTAGCTGAATGGTAAACGAGTTCGTCTTGTAACTTGATGGTCTTGTTCTCTATTCCTAACATTGAAATGAAGGCTGTGCACTGTTAAGGAGTCCTAATATAAAACGAAACGACTGTCCAGCACTCCCTAGCGGTTGTCACTGGGCCTCTTGAGATAATAATAATCTTAATCTAGGAATGTTAATTATTCAGCATGTCTCACACATACAGCAATACACTCAAATTCACAATTTGAAAATTGTATTAACAGTTCATTCAAGTATTCAGGCTGACTTTGAGTGATTTTCGACTGATTCAGCTGATTCCAAGTTGAGTTAAATAAGATGCTTCGCTGATGAAGTAGTCCCCAAAGAAGCAAAAGCACCTTACGTCGCGCAGATAACTTTCATCTTGCCGACAAATAACCATCAAGTATTGGTTTGTAGGTATTTTGTTTGATTGGTTACAGGACTTCATCATGAGCTGAAATCGGTTAGAGAACCATTGGAAAACCTGGGAGTACCGGATAGCTGTTTCGTCCTAGTTTTGGACTCTTCAAACCAATACTTGATATTTGATCTGATAATTGATCATAAGTGACTGGCCCTATTCGGGCAGTGACCTGTGGTTCTAAGGAGAAGCCTTGACCAGTAGGGTACAGAAGGTTGAAGGTGAGGCAGTAACTCATCGAAGAAGACGTTGCGAAGTGGTCACGCTATGTCATGAATTGGCAGAAGTAAGAATTCATGGGTTGGCCATTGGATCGGGTCCCAGTGGCTTAGTGTTCTACGAGCTCTCCTTGTAACCAGAAGGTCATGGGTTCGAACCCTGTTGGTGAGTGCGTACCGTTGAAGCGTCTCGGGTTAGAATGTAACATCTTTCCAGTACTATCAGTTGGTTTTCCAATGGTTCTCTAACTGATATCAGCTCATGATGAATTCCTCCAATTAATAATCACATGCTGCTTGATGTGAGTTGTTGCCAATCACTGATATCAATCAGTGCTATATACTAGATCAGATTTACGCTAAATCTAAATTTTCTAACGCATAATATGCACCCACTTACCCCAATTATTCCGTTACAGCTGCTTTAGAAGTTTAGTAAATATCATTTTTCAAGATCCTACAGACTTAAGGTATTGCTTGTTTTTTCTAAGTTTTATTACCTTATGTCAGGCAAATCCGTGGTTTTATAGCATTTCTATCAACAAAAACAGTAATACCTTTATTCTTAAAGGTGCATTTAGACAATGCAGAATTCTCAGCGAATTTCCTCGCTGGTTATATACTCCTTGTCCAGAATCTTCAAGTAATTTAACAACCAGTTATATGTCATCTGAAGCAATGCTGTTTCATCCGAAGCATGTTCCAATACTACTCTACAATGCTGTTCCTTCATTTCCTTCGAAGAATTCCCAGCGACAGATAGAAACTTATTTGAAATTGTGCGTGACAACAGATTGCTACTCATTACAGTAATTAAATGATTAAAACTATATGAAATGGAGTGAATAAAATACATTTTGATGGATAGCAGATTTAGGTATCCCAGTGATTTAAACAGGCGGCCTGATTAAAATTGCTTATTATGGCTTTATCTCTAGATTTTTCGTGAGAAATCACCTACTGACTGTCACAACTACCTAAAGAAATTTCAAGGCTTTCTCTCTAAATGGTATAGCTAACAAAAGGAATCAATCGTTTTTAAGTTTAGAATATTCAGTAAACAATTCGTTCATTTTATCCGTTTTCTAACTCTCTACCCCAAAGAGAAACAATTATGAAGAAAAGAGAAGACAATTTAGCCTGGAAACTTTCTTTATCAACAAAATCCTCTTCAAAGCCTGTACGATTGTATTTTTATTTATAATATACCATTTTTTATTGAAACTTCAAACTATTAACTAGCATTTCAAACGTCAAGACGATATCGACTAACACAATTAGCTATGAAGCTACTCTCAGTATAATCGGCAATAATTACAAGTTAATTTACAAACTATCATCAGTCAGAGACCCCTTGAATGCCACCAAAGAATACTGAGAACTTGTTTTTTCCTAATTCAAAACTGCTGATTTCATAATGGCAATAAAACTTTGGACCTTCAGATTATGAGGCCAAACTGTTGACCCATCAGCTGCTACGATTAAATGTATTAGTCCATATGGCAATAATTATATATAGCAACATCTGAAATTAAACCCAATGAACTGGTCTCTTTTCACTTGTTGATATTTATTCCATTTTAGTTTGTTTATTAGGTATATCACAGTGAAACAGTATTATTTACTGGATGACGTTTCGAACAAAATTTATTGTTCATAATCATATCAATTATAATCACACGACTTTGACACTTGAGTTTTATAGCTTTCTTTGTTTTCTCCAATTTGTCGTAGGGGGAGTAGAATTTTCCAGATATCGGGGACAGGTGATGAATCATTCCTATTACATGTATTTGCAGTTGATTCGATAAACAAAGCTTCTGTTATCAATCTCTCTCTATACCCTGTGACATTGGATTTTAAAACTGTCATCCTATCCCATCCTATTGTATGGTTGTGTGTGACTGCATGTAGTGAGTGGTATAGCTGAACTATTCTCTAGATTTCTTATTTTATTCGGGTCAACCAAACTAGATTTCGCTAAGTTTTTATGTTCAGATAGTCTGACCTTCGAAGTTTGAAGCAATACAATTCACTTATGAATTGGAAAATCAGGAAGGGGAGCTCCCAATGTTAGATTGCAACGTAAAGAGGAAAGAAGATGGGAAGTTAAACACTAGTGTTTACAGGAAACCCACACACTCAAACAGATATTTGGACTTCCAATCATCCCATCCTGTGTCAGTAAAAATAGGATTGGTGAAATGTTTAAATGACAGAGCACAAAAATTAAGTAGTACCAAAGAAAATCTAAAACAAGAACTGATACATATAAAAGAAGCCTTGAAACTTAATAATTACCCGGATAAATTAGTCAGGAAATATCTAAGGAAATGTAAAAATAAAATAAATAATGATAGTAGCGATAGTGATAATAACAATAATAATGATAATGATAATAGTGATAGTAATAATAATATTAGTGACGACACCAACAATAAAGAATCTAAATCATCAGTAGTAATTCCATACAAGGAAGGAACCTCGGAAGCCTTACGCAGAATTCTTAACAAGGCAGGAATAAAAACGGCATTCAAACCCACAAACTCAATTAGAAACAAGCTTTGTCGATGAAAGGATCCTGTAGAGCCTTTAAAACAAAACAATTTAGTTTATCTAATACCCTGCAATGATTGTCAGGTCAAATACATGGGTCAAACTAGTAGAACAGGTGCAGTCAGACTAGCTGAACATAAAAACCTAGCAAAATCTATATTGGCTGACCCAAATAAGATAAGAAATCTAGAGAATATTTCAGCTATAGCACTACATGCAGTCGCATACAACCATACAATGGGATGGGATAGGATGACAGTTTTAAAATCCAATGTCACAGGGTATAGAGAGAGATTGATAACAGAAGCTTTGTTTATCGAATCAACTGCAAATACATGTAATAGGAATGATTCATCACCTGTCCCCGATATCTGGAAAATTCTACTCCCCCTACGACAAATTGGAGAAAACAAAGAAAGCTATAAAACTCAAGTGTCAAAGTCGTGTGATTATAATTGATATGATTATGAACAATAAATTTTGTTCGAAACGTCATCCAGTAAATAATACTGTTTCACTGTGATATACCTAATAAACAAACTAATATGGAATTACTTACTACCACAGTGCTCAAGTTTTACACATATATTAATATGTTGATATTTATGCCTTTTAATTGTGTCAAAGTGTGCGTATAACTGATTTTACCATTGATTTATTATTTTTCTTGTATCTCTCTCTTTCTCTCTCCTTCTTCTTTTAGCCAAGTCCATTCCGATCTCGTTTAATTCTAACCTCATTTATATTTGAATGTACAAGTTTTGCAATTGTGACATTATTTCTTATTGAAATACCAATTAAACTATGGGCATTTGGAGCTAGATTTTATTGTCACCAATGGATTGAAATGTTAGATGCATTTGTATGTATTGTTAGTTTTGCTGTAGACACTTATAATATTCATCGACATGTAACACATTCTAAAGATACTGATGAACATTATAAACCACATGGGGTTAGTGGGACAAATGATCATTTAGTGAATAAAAGTGTACAAGCTACAATTGCTGATGCTGCTGGTCTACTTGTCCTGTTTCGATTATGGCGTGTTATACGTATTGTAAATGGTAAGTTTCTTTGTTATAACTTTGTTCTTTTGATTATATACAACAGAATACTCAAATGCAATTGTCACAGAAAAAAATGCTCCAAGGGTTATTGATACAAATATAACTGGTGGTGAATTAGGGGTCACCACAAGACTAAAAGCAGAGGCCTATACCACTGTTCACCCCTGCATCAGCTGCGCTACAAAACTTAACTGTTAACCAGGTCATCATTTCACTACAGTCTTCATTCCGAGTGGAACATACGGCTGCAGACCTTTTGAATTTTTACTAGGGTAAAGGGTTACTAGCCCTTGAGATACGATCTTCCTTCTTGCCTAGGCTTACCTTCGGCCTGTAAACTAGGCGAGGTATTTTACCGTTTAAAACTTCGACTTATCACATTTAAATATTTACCTAGAAAGCGATCTTTACCCAAATTCGTTTTATTTTATACACCTGATCTGACTGCCTACTTAGATCTATAAACAAGTTGCTCAGGTCTTTTTCTGAAGAAATTGTGGTTTATGCATAAAAACCTTAAGTGAAAAAGTTTATTTTGACCTCCTAAACACTCTGGAATTCCTTTAAATCATACTTTGTTAGGTTAGAGTCAAACTTCACATTTGAACTGTCTTACAACATTGCGTAACATCTATAGTCTAAACATTTAGAAATCCTATAAATGTTTTTAATATTATGCGTGACTAATTTTTGGATGGAGGATTTCATCATGAGCTGACATCAGTTAGAGAACCACTGGAAAACCTAAGAGAACTGGACAGCGTTTCTCCTGGTTGGGCTTTATCAGTCGCACCCACCGGAGTTCGACTCAGGACCTAATTTTTGAAAAATAGTTGCAAGTCAGCCTAGATTTCGGTTCCTTATTGATTCTATGCATCAGTATTTTGAGTAGCATTTTCTGTCTGAAAAAAATGAAGTAAATTACCCAGTTTCTTGTTTGAACAAACAACTAACTATTTGTATTAGTGAAGTGAACAACAGTGACTAGGAGAAAATGCATGATGCTATATACTACTAACTATTTGTTATGAGTAGCTGTTAACCGCTCACATTAACCAATAGTACTTGTCACTTAGCCGGCCAGATATCTAAATGATCTGCACACAATGAACAGCAGTTTTGCTTACTTTTGAGCTGAAATAATTGTTACAGTAACCGGTTTGAGTCAACTCAGACAGGTGAATCAGTTCAAACCACTCGAATTCTGCCTGGCTAGCTAATTGGGTGAACCGGTATGACGTTGATTCATATTCGTAATTTGCAAACACTTTTTGTGATCTGTAATTTGCATTATTTCACAGGAATAAATATCGTCTGACAGTGGAAAATCTATCATGTCAACTTCAGATTATCCTCTGATTTCAGATATTTAACTTTTTCTATTCCTTTACGTTCCCGGGGGAACATAGGGCTTCAAGCTAGAGGCCCGAAGTCTAGGTAGCAGTGATATTTATTTTTACGGGATGGGGTTGCTAGCCCCATGCTCAGCCTTCCCTCTTTACCAGTCTTATTATTGGTTTAGAGAGGTAAATGAGTGCGTCGACCGGGGATCGAATCCCGGACCACATGTGTGGTCGGCGAGCATTCTACCGCTGTGCAACAGACGCACTTAACTTCAAATGAATTATATTATTATTTTAAGCTGTCTCATGACTCAGCACAATACCAGTGTTTAACAAAGGTACTTGTTGTTTTTCTCTTTCCTATGAGTGTCCTGTTATGTGTATATTTTTCAAAACAGCCGAATGAATTACCACTATCTAACTATGTTTAAAAACACATGCAATAATTATGAGTCCTTTAATTTAAAAGTTGCTAAGATTTACATTCAGCTTTATCTGAAACTAGAACTTCATTCACATCATCTCCCTCCATCCCCCTCCCCCGAGAAAAACGTGTGAATCGTCACTCTATTTGCTACTTATTTGAGATTAGAATGCCCAGTGAAGAATACACATGGGAAAAGTGGGTAAGACATGGGTTAAATGATCAGTTTTGACAGGAGATTAAGAGTTTGCTCTTTCTTTGCAAATGTACCATTAGTAGAAACTGTTTGTTATCTATGTGATTACATTGACCAAAAATGTATCTGAAGCAGCTTTTACTCAGATATACGCTTAATGTGCAGTTTAGGTTTAACGATGTCATTTATAATCATAGGGATAGAATCGCCATGGGGTCCCCATTAGGACCTATTGTAGTGGATGTCTTCATGGTGGGCTTAGAGAGTGGTCCATTGAAAGAAACAGTCTCGAGTTTGCACATGAATAAGTGATATTTTTAAGGCACCTTCATTACTTGTAACGACAAATGTTCAACTGCCGAGCTTCTTGAAAAATTTGATGGTTCTCAACCATCTATGCTTTTCACTATCGAAGAAGAATTGAATTCCTCATTTCAATTCTTAGATGTGATGTTAGATAGAAGAGAGGATGGCACGTTAAAAAGGTCTATTTATAGAAAGCCAACATTTACATGGTAGTACACTAACTTCAACAGCTGGTTACCTCTACGTAGGAAGAGAAATCTAATCCCTTCTCTATGCTTAAGAATTCGGAAAATTTGCTCTGTAGATACAGTCGACTTAGAAGTAGAAAGCCTTTGCACAACTCTCTTAAATAATGGATATCCTAATAGGTTTATTGACAGAAACATCAAGAAAAAAACCTCCCCCAGCCAAATCACCGTGCCAAAGAAGACACTGTTTATGAGTTTGGCGTTCAAAGTTGACACTATTGCTGAAGTCATTAAAAGTCGTTTATCTAAATGTATTAAACGCTCTTTTTATGCAGCTGACTTGCATTTAGTATTTACCAGCTGAAATATGATTCTACAGTGTGTCAAGGATAAACTACCACTTATGTCCACCTCTCTGTGCATATACTCGTTCACATGCTTGTATGGAGCTGATTACATTAGACGCTGTAAGCGTAATCTCCATAAATGCGTGGCTGAATACTATATGGTTTGGTTAATGAAAGGTGAGCAAAGGACGATAAAGTCTTCAATCCGTGAACGCCTTCCTGAGTCAGGTCATTCAGCCCCGCATGATTTATCCTTTAAAGTTATCTACAGGTCCAAATGCAATCAATCCAAAAGCTTACATTTTCTCCACTTATGCCTAGCCAAAGCTTTAGCCATATATGGAGAAAAACCTAAAAACGTTTTATCAAACCCCTCTCTTTACCTTGGTCGTAGTAATGTTCTTTTATTTTATTTAACCACTTGAATTCATTCCACTACACTTCCCCTTCGTCATGTTTATTGTTATCATCATCGTACTCTTAATTTTTTAGACAACACATGACCAACAATTTTAAAATCTTTATACCAGTTTACTTACTTAATAATGTTTAAAAGTTTTGTAATTCATCCACTTCAACCCTACCCCCTTAGTACATCATTTTAATTATCTTTATTCTTATCATATGTGCAATATTGACTAAGCAATTTCTAGTTCCACTTAATGCCTTTTCCCGTAATATAAATACGACTGTACAGCTGGCTTGAAAATGAATTCGTTGAAAGGCGATATTTCTTCACCGAACAAAAAATTGTTTTTCCTTATGAATTAAGTGGGTGAATTACATGTTCATCCACTATTTCAAGGACACAAATTCCCTACATTTTACCCCTTTTTCTCGTGCAGCCCACGTCAATTCCAGAAATGACCCACTTCTTCCCAATTTATCAATTTTTGAAATGTAATGTTACCCATGTTTTTCCCTCACTTTAACCATCTTCATGAAAACATTTCTCCGACTAGGTAGTTGTGTATATATATAGTAGCAACGTTGTTTGTTTCTTTGTCTGTTTGTTTTTCGTTTCCTCCAGTTTTCGATTTATTTTTCACGTTAGACAGTTTACAGTCAGGTTATTATTTAGTTGCTAGAACAACAACAGGTGTCCTGAAGAAACATTTTCTGCAATAGAAAAATGTATCAGTGTTAACAATATATAACCTTCATAGTGATTTATCCTTTTACCAAGTATGATTTGTTACTGAATATATTTGTTTGCAGCTATTATTAGCTGCAATATTAGCTGAACTTATGTAGTTAACTGCGATTGCTTTTCGTTTGACTGAATTCTTACTTAGAATACTGTTTGAGATGTGTGCATTTTTTTATAATTTGACAACTGAACTGTACTAATTTTTCAATGTAGAAGTTTGCACCAAAAATGGTAACACTTGAAGATGTTACACTGCATAATAGGACACATAAAGGTACAGACAAAAACATAAATGCAAAAATAATATAATAGATAAATAAATAAAAATATAAACAACTCCTTATCATCAACTATCGACGACTTCCATTTCTACAAGAGACACATCGATGATACTTTCATTATTTGTGATAAGAATTGTGATCTATAAAACCTAATTCAAATCTTCAACAACGTCCACCCAAACATCGACTTCACTCTGGAAGTTGATTCTAATTCAGTGTTTCATTTCCTCGACGTTCAACTACGAAGGAATGCAGACAACTCGCTAAGAAGATCCATCTACAAAATGTCCACTTTCAAAGTTGTGTGCATCTAAGCAAAAAGAGAAACCTAATATACTGTCTTTCCTCGAGGGTCCGAAAGATTTGCACTGAGGAGTCAGTCGATGAAGAATTAAAAATTCTCCAAGGGACCTTGATAGAAAATGGATTCACCCCCCCCCCCCAGATTCATAGACAAGAATCTAAAACCAAGGAAAACACCTGAAAAGGTTCAAGTCGCCACCAAAAAGATGCTGATATTGAACCTCGAATTTAAAAGTGATACCGAAGCAGAAATTCTCCGCAGATGGCTTTCGAAGTCTCTCAGTAAAACATACTTCGCCGCCAGCCTACGAATAACATTCTCCTGCAAGAAACTATTCGCCCAACACGTGAAAGACAAGCTGTCGCATTGGGCCACTTTGACATGCATATACAAGTTCACTTGCTCGTGTGAAGCTGAGTACATTGGCCGTACCATGCGTCCGCTTGTAAAACGCGCGC